GACAGCAATGGCGATCATGCCGTCACTTCTTATCAGTCCAAAATACTTGAACTAGTATGTATGCACAGTAGGGCTGTGTACTTTGTGATTTGACCGTAGAGATTCACTTTCTTTTGCCGTCACTAAAAATAGGCCCAATCCCTGTCCTCCTTACACATTCTCACTTATCTTGTATGCATTATGAGTTTGGCAGCGATCAGTGAAGTTCGCTTCACTGTATTGCGCTGTACAATGATGACGATGATGATGTGAAAACAGCGTGAATGGTTTATCACTCCGGGCGCTACCTTGGTAACAAATATGTTTGACGAGTAATTTTGACCGCCATCTTTCTCTGCCTATGGTTTTGTTATTTACTGATCACATATGTTAATTATCACAAACTGCAGTATACACGAGAACAGATGCAACGAAATGACCCAGGATACATTGTGCAAACCTGTGTTTTTAGCTTCTCTATTGAAATTTGCGACGGGGAAACTGCTTCCAATTAAACTGATTTGCTCTCGATTGTGTCCCGGAGGCTGTATAAAGCAATATGCTTAGAAAGACAGTTAACCAACTGAACTCGGTAACCCGATCGCTGCAGTCACGACTGGAATGGGTTAGTGCCTCCGGTCATGAACAGTTGTCGTGTGACCGCAATGAGCTCCACTAGCCCTGAGTTTTCCCGCGCACAATCCCATACAGCACGCTTCCGATTAGCTGATTGATCGATTGATTGATTAATTGATTGATTTTTGGGCTTCCCTTCTCAGACGTACAGTAGATATTGTTATTGGTTTAATATTTGTTCGAGGCTAATCAGAGCGTTTCCCATCGAATTTAACGAACGGTAGTTACCAGGTAATAAACGACGCAAACCAAAAACAAACAAATATTTCCACTCCCCATTCACTGCGACTTGCAACTTCTGATCTCTCAGAGAGTGGACAACAAGAACAACACATGTTGACCGTTTCAACCAAGGGACTGTGAACCTCCAGTGAACCAATTTGGTCAACATGTAAACACCCCTTTCCGCCCTGATAACTAACCTAAACTAGTTCTGGCGAATTGCATCTTCCACTCTTTCACTATCGGACTTTCACAGGCTCTTATACCCCGGTTTGAACTTCAAGTTTTACTAATGATCTGTTTGAAGCTATTTTAAAATATTTAACCGCAGTGTATGGAATGAACCTCAGAACAACAGTGGCCTTTGGTTTTCTACTATTTTTATCCGCAACATGAAATCTCCAAGTTAAAGTGAGAAATAATGTGTACCCCCTCCCTCATTTGAATGGAGTTTTTCTTCCACTGCTTCCAATATGTATTTCCCATCAAAGTGAGAGGACAAAAAGCCGACACGAGGGGCCTGTGGCTGGTGGACCAGTGGTAGTTCATCTAGAGGAGAAACTCTCCACCTTCTTTTTGACTCTACCGGGAACTTTCCAGTCCTTCTCCTATTGCCTTATCCAAATGTGCAGCGAAAAAACAGCAACCAAAACCGGCGCATAAAAGTACATGACTATTGGTTGTGCGAACTGAAAATGTCGGTACAATTTGATACGGCTCCCGTTATCCACCGGTGTTTTTTCGACAGACTCTATTCCGTACGGCAACTAGATTTTTTTTCCCATCCGTTCATCCTTATTGACCTCTGTCTCCTACATTTTAATATTTTACTATGATTTTGCGATCAATCTCCGGATAACCCTCATCCCCAAGTTAATGCGTTCATTTCTGTGTCTTGGCTCATTTAGTTTGTCTGTATTATCTAGATTTGGCTGAAATACAAGTACATGTGACTGCATAAATCATGCCAAGCGCAAATACAAATACAAAGGTAGCGCAATCATAACGTGTGCAATCGCTTAGTTCCCTTGTGTCTTGCATGTCCACGCTAACTGTCATGATCGATTGCGCGGAAACCAACTGTTTGATGAAACAGTTGGCAAGCGAAATCAGCTGTGCGTCAATGATATCAAAATGGTCTCTGTGGGAAATGTTAACGTCACTCGGGATTGGTTGATTTGCATCGATTGAAATTCGATCCCCATTCTATTGCTCTCCGATTCGTTTTCCGTCAAGCGGTTACTTTTTCCCCACCGTATTTTCATGCTGTGCGTGTTTTGACCTCTGACTGCGCGTAAAAGCAATTAACGTCATTGTTGATTACGGATGAATGATTACAATCGCCCGGTTTAAACCGACTCACACACGCAGCTGTTCCATTTGTTTTCGATGTCAAAATGAAGCCGGTTAACTGAATCACATATACTTGTGTGCGCTTATTGGAATGATTGTAGCTTGGGATGCGGATTGCGGTGTTGGTGAGTTCTCTGAGCTGGAAGTGCTATTCACACATGTTTCGTAGCCAGGCTAGGCAACATCATCACTGGAACTTCGGGGAACAATACTTCCAGCTCAGAGAACACGCCAACACCAACACGTGTACTGTTATCTGTCGAAGTGTCAAGCTCACTGAAGCATTCGGATCATAGTTTGATTCGCGAGATCGTGTATCAGGTTCTGTGTCACGTTTGTTTCCTTTCTCTTTTTCTGCATCCGGTGAGTACGCTGATCACACACGTCCACGTGAAATCTATTGAGCCTCATCGCATTCACTCAAAATTCGGTCCGTGCTGGAGGCCATGAATACTTTCGCCCATAGCTCACATACACTTCCTTCTCTCGTTCATCTCTCTGTTGATAATAATGACAAATGATCCTATTTCTTTGCCCCTCCTAACGATCTAGTGTTCTTACGAATTGTTCAGAAATTTTCCAATCCATTTGCTAGATGCTCCGATTTGGAGTCGTCAAACAGCGGCAACAAAATGGACAACTACTATACCTTTTCAACTTCAATTGAATCCGTTGTATCATATTTTCCCTACTTTCACTCAATACCCCATGAAGCACCCGGTACAGATTTCTTATCGCCTTGTGAGATCATGAATAACTGTAATTCATTCTAATCATCACCTATCTCATTCAATAAATCATAAAGATCGCACAGATGTAATCAGTACGAAAACGGATGTGACGGGTTGATCAATGATAGCATAAAGATAAGAACCTATGCAATGAATCTGAGTAGCATAGAGAGAAGCCGCATGTAACAGATTGTTGCCATTGATTTTTTAGATTGAATGTATAATCAGTCAGGGAATGACAGAAAAACATGATTTATGTTAGCTAGTGAATATATTCGAATTTGATCTTACTATTCAGGTGAAATACTGGTACTTATTTCATTGTATCCATTGAGTATCTTGTCAGGTGTGCATTTTAATGCCAGAAATACGTAAGCCATCACATCTGATTCAAAGTAATAGGTTTTATTCGAGAGAATCGCGGCGTCAATGGAAATTATCCATTTATGCTATTGAGGTCTTAGACTGAATCCACTCATGCAATGAATCATGCTCACATTCCAGTCTGGGCATGGCGACCGACTTATCGATCCACCTTGACGTGATTCGCTTCCTTAATCGACCGATAGAGGTCAATTAACGCCGGGTTCGTTCCTTCGTGTCTATGATGCACACCTGTTTAACGATCACGAACATAACCTGTCAGGTTGGGGCGCGGGGTGGGAAAGTGCGGGAGGAACAGCCTACCTCACGCCATCGAAACTTTCCTCCTCGCTCGGTAACTCATCGAAAAAGTACTTTTATTTGTTTACGGAGACGTTAGTTCATTCGGACTGGACGGGGTTTTGACAGACCCAGGGCAATCGGTGACGTTTGACGGCCAAAACACCAATAATCTTCTGGAGTTCCCGTGGAATGCGATTGGTTGTATTCATTTGAAATTGAAAAGGTACAGATTAAAGTGTAATGAATGCGAGTGTGCTTCCCTTTTTCCATCATCATGGTAGTCCAAATAATGCAATCAATTGGAGCGGTCCGTTGATCAACAGTATGCATGTCCTTGGTTCATACCTAGTCAAACGATAACGAAATTTCTTTGTGATCCCTTGGTACGGTAAACGGTGTGTGTGGTTGACCTTTCTGCTCACAGCCAGTTAAAGCTACGCATTTGAATGTTTACGCCAGCTTTGTGTTTCAAAGGTGAAATTCGTCGTGTATATAGCAAATGAAACCTGAACTGAAAAGCTAGGAAGCACTGGACAACTGTTTCGACCTGGTTAGGAATCCATCGACCGAACTGGGGATCGAACCCGGGACCACATGGGCAGGACGCAAGCATGCTACCCACTCGGCCACAGGGGAGCTGATCATACCGTTTTTCATTTTCCACTTACACGATATAGCACAACCCATCTTTGCGANAATCCATCGACCGAACTGGGGATCGAACCCGGGACCACATGGGCAGGACGCAAGCATGCTACCCACTCGGCCACAGGGGAGCTGATCATACCGTTTTTCATTTTCCACTTACACGATATAGGCCTCAGCCCTCGCTTTGTGTTTCTCAGTGTTTTTCTCGATAAGAGTTTACGATGAGTTGAATTCTAATTTCAAAGTACTTGATATTTTCTTTAATTCCATTGTGAGCGTTGGTATTTCAACGAACCCTCTGGCCTTATGGAAAAATCGAACCGTTCACTGCGTATCACCCTCGACAGGTATAAATTAATTTGAACCCTTCGGTGTATTTGCGTCGCATTGGCCTTATCTGTTCTCTTCTGTCTTCTCCACCCTCTCTCTACGACATTCTAGGGCTTGTTCCGCATCAGTTTACCTTGGCTGAACCGCGGTGCCGGTCTCACTCCAGCCTCGAGCACATCCTCGGTGATCGAGCCGGTGGACGGATTCCGCTCGGCGTTGCATTATCAGCCACCGCCGTCTATGAAAGGTGCAAGTGGCACATTGCCACATCGGTACACAGACGCGATCGCACTGAATGCCTCAGCTGGTTCGGCCGCTTACTACAAAGCATTGAATTTACAATCCAAACAACGTCGCCCCCGCGCCCAGGTACTCGTCGGCCCCGGGAATATCCAGACCGCTCCAAACACCGTGACTTGGCGTCCGATCAATGGGGGGACACATCCGACTGATCTGACCTGTCCGAACGGCAATGTGGTCAAGATTGGTCAACCATGGGAGCAGGTCAGTTTGTCCTCACCGCAAGCACAACAACGATTGGATGCTTTGCGTAAACAATGCGCCTCACTCCCATGGCCTAAAGATCAGCCACAAGCAAGCCAGGTAAGCACTATCCCTCTCGTTCTGCTGTTTGACAAGATGTGCCTGGTTTACGTGTCGTGCCAATTGACGACTTGGAGAGGCAGTTGTGAAACTACCGATGTACCACCGCATTTGTGATAGTAGCTGTGTAGAATAAACGCGAAATAATGAAAATAAAAAGATAAATAAGAGTTCAACTGGCCAGAATGAAGGAAAACAGTTAAAAAAGAATGGAAATATTTTTGGGCATATTTTGACTGCAGTTTTTTTTCTCTATATGTTTTTGGCTTTTCTATGTTCGTGTTTCTACTTGAATGACGCGAGCCTTCAACAGTATTAATAACACTGATTTTTGTTCTGAGTCTCTCTATCTCTAACCGACTCCAACCATCGACGATCCGCATTCCTTGGATCTAAACCTACAGGGTGGGAGACACCAACTGAAACCCATACCCGATTCCCGTTAGCATAAGCTGACTTCAGATGGTTATGGTTAGAAACACTGAGCGACATGGTTGGGTGTCACAAACTGTGGCGCTCGTGCATCTCATTATTTTTGCCAGATCACTCGGTATAAGTACGCTATCTTTCGCTTGAATTTGCTCTCAACATTCCAATCTACATCCTGCTCTCTTATCCAAATGGGCGGCCAAAAGACAGCAACCCAAACCAGCGCACGGAAGTGCCTGGTTAATGGTGGTAAAAACTGATACTGAAACTATCTGCCACATCGCCTCCTGTCATCTCAACCACCACGTATGAAGAGACCACGGAGAGGCAGACATATATGGACATGTATACACAAAACATTCTCAATGAACCAGGTCATTGACCATTCCTCCCCCCCCCCCTGAC